ATTTCTGGGCTCTCTATTATATTCCATTGGTCTATATGTCTGTTCTTGTGCCAGTACCAGGCAGTTTTGAGAATAGTGGTTTTGTAATACAGCTTGATATCTGGTGTTGAGATCCCTCATACATTGTTGTTCTTTCTCAGGATTGCTGCAGCTATTCGGGGTTGTTTTTTATCCAAATGAATTTTTGGAGAGTTTATTCTAGGTCTGTGAAATATGCCTTGGTATTTTAATGGGGAGTGCGTTGAATCTATAGATTGCTTTGGGCAGTATGGACATTTTAATGATGTTGATTCTACCAATTCATGAACACGGTATGTTCTTCCATATGATTATGTCTTCCTCTACCTCTTTTTTCAGTGTCCTATGGTTTTCCAAGTACAGGTCTTTTACCTCCTTAGTTAAGTTTATTCCTAGATATCTTAAGTTTTTTTTGGTGCAATGGTAAATGGGATTGTTTTTTTAGTCTCTCTTTCTATAAGTTCACTATTGGTATATAAAAATGCCATTGATTTCTTGGCGTTAATTTTGCATCCCGTTACATTGCCGAATTCATTTATTAAGTCTAATAATTTTTTAAAAAATATATTTTATTGAATTTTTTACAGAGAGAAAGGGAGAGGGAGAGTTAGAAACATCGATGAGAGAGAAACATCCATCAGCTGCCTCCTGCACTGCCCGCCCCCCCTTGCCCCCCCCCCCCCACCGGGGATGTGCCCACAACCAAGGTACATGCCCTTGACCAGAATCGAACCCGGGACCTTTCAGTCCGCAGGCCGATGCTCTATCCACTGAGCCAAACCGGTTAGGGCAAGTCTAATAATTTTTTGATGGAGTCTTTAGGGTTTTCTATGTACAGTATCATGTCATCTGCGAATAATGACAGTTTTACGTCTTCTTTTCCAATTTGGATGCCTTTTATTTCTTCTTCTTGTCTAATTTCTATGGCTATCACTTCTAGAACTACTAACATAGTTCTTTAATCAAAATTCTTTTAATAAAAATCCTATCCTTCCTACAGCAACCAGCACAAACATTGTTTTTCAGCCTCAGTGATATCTTTCCAAAACTAGAGTTTGACCAAATTATCAATGATCATTAAAATTAGCAGAGGCGATAATGTGTTTATGTCCAGAGCTTTCTCCATGAGAAACTCTTATCCATTTCCTGCATGCGTGTTGGTGGGAGGCTATAGATTTGGCCATTAAAGAACAAAGATTGGGCTGCCTGTGCTTGGAGTTTGGTTCTAGCTCTTATTATCCTCGTTGTACACTATGGCAAATTACTTAGTTTGTCTAGTAATAACTGTTATTTTACCCAAATAGCTTAAATCATGCTTGATGTATGCCAGGCATTCTCTAAGTGCTTTACATATATTAATCCTCATACCACTCCAAATTGTCCTTATTTTACATATGAAGAAATGAGGCTCAGAAAGGTGAAATAATTTGGACAAGCCAGGAAGTAGGGAGACAGGCATAATAGAAATTTTTAAATAAATGTTTCTTTGCTCATTCTTCTTTTTCACTCTCCATCTTCTCTTTCTTCCCTCTCCTTGCCTTTCTCTTCCCTTTTGACCATTTCCATCTCCTCCTCTCTCTTTCCCTCCCCTTCTTCCTATCTTCTTTCCCATTCTCCCTCGACCCTTTTTCCTGCCACTCCCTCTTCTCTTTCTTCATCCCCTCATTACTTCCCACCCTTCTCCTCCTCTACCCCGTTCATCTATTCCATTATTATCAATATGTGTGTACTTGGTGCTCTGAGGAACACCAAGATCAGTCAGAGATCCTGCTACAAAGAACTTACAGTAGTAGAAGCTAAAAGATATTTATAGAAGTTGCTTAGAATGTGATGGAAAGTTACGGATTTAGGGCTTTACAAGTTATACAGGATTGCTTTTCCCTGTGGGAGCAAGGAAGGTTCTGTGGAGGGGTATCTATCCTTCCACGGAGTCTTAGGGAATGACTTATGAAAGAGTAGTTGTAGTCTAACACATTATGTTTAGGCATATTTTATAACTATCAACCTCTTCTTGATTATTACAGGTAATGGAGCTTAAATCTCATTTACTAATGGCAGCCCTTTTTGGACTCTGATTTTGTCAAGTGTGTGTGGCAAGTGCTGTAAAAGTTAAATGTAAATATGAAGGAGCCCATGCCACTTTGGAGTGTTTGGAAAACAAGTCAGTGCACGTAGATTGAGGATGCCAGAAGGAGGCATACTGATCTGATCTGTGTCAACAGGAGACAGAAATGCAGTCAGTAATTACACAGTCCATATACCCTTAGTTGCTATGTGAAGTCAGTTCTCAAAGAGTTCTGAAAAATAATCTTCCCATGTGAACTGCCTTTTTTGTCATAATGTAGTTCCTCTGCATCTGTGAAGTGTCATCCCCAATACTTCTTCAGAACGCCAGGTACCATGGCACCAGGTGCCCTCCAGGAAATGTGAGATGGGCTATCAAGTGCGGTGTCTGAAAGTACATTTTAGAAAGTATCAAAAACTAGTATATTATATGATGAAAAGGTATTAATAATTTTAGTCGTGTATACTAGGAGTATTTTGGGCATGCGTCTTCTTAGAATTCAGCATTCTGGTTCATTTGTTATATTAGATAAAATTATATTAAAAGTTGGCCAAAGTTAGTTATCTTTTATCTAATTTTCCTGTTAATGTTTTATATGAAAAGATAAGTGAATTTTCATGATTGCCTTCTTTTGTTATTCATAGTATACATTAAAAAGGGATCTCATTCTCTTTTAAATGATATATCATAAGAGGACATTTAGCTGCCTGTATATGTCAGTTTTTATTTTTCATTTTTATTATCAAAATCAATATCATATTTGGAAACTGCCAAATGGATTCTAGATATCTGAGGTACTAAAGTTTGTAGAGCCATATAAATCAGTCTTATTAGGAAGTAGTATAATTCAGCTGCATAGAACCAGAGTCCTAAGTTTAAATGTCTGCCTCACATAAAGAAGTAAATTGGGTACTGGCCATGCAGATGTTTTGAGAAGAAAAGTTGATGAGAAATTGTTGAAATCAGGCAAAGTGATTTAAAAACCTAGGTACTTTACTTCCCAATTCTGTCTTATTCTGAAATGAACTGTTGTCATTTGTGCATGGTTGACATTCAGCAAATAGTTCTGGAATCAGCTAATATAAAATTTTTATTAATTACTAAAAATTGAAAAAAGCAATCGTTATTGGTTAACAAAAATCAAACAAACAAACGAAGCAGCTTATGCAGCACAGATCTGTGAAGCAGAACTTCCTCTTACCATTTAGTCCTAGGAAGACACAGTTCAAGGAAGAGTGGTCCAACACAGGTAGTTAGATTAGGTCCAGTGGTTGGCAAACTCAGTCAACAGAGCCAAATATCAACAGTACAACGATTGAAATTTCTTTTGAGAGCCAAATTTTTTAAGCTTAAACTATATAAGTAGGTACATTGTTATTAACTTAATTAGGGTACTCCTAAGGCTTAGGAAGAGCCACACTCAAGGGGCCAAAGAGCCGCATGTGGCTCGCGAGCCGAAGTTTGCCGACCACGGGTTAGACCAGCAATTTTCAACCTTTTCAATCTCATAAACTAATTACTGGCACATCAAAAAATGTTATATTTTTGCCGATCTGACAAAAAAATAGGTAAAATTTTTACTCATTCACACTGAAGGGTCAGCTATTGTGTTGGCTGTTATTTTTTTACTTGACAGTCTAAGGAAAAAGGTGTCAGTGCCCTCTGACTAGTAGTCAGGTATTGCATGTTCTAAACATTCTGATGGCACAGGTTAAAAAATCTCTGGGTTAGACCTAAGAAGTAATATTTCCAATTGAGTTAAGAAGTTAAAAATTATGCAAAAGGACAACATTAGTATTGAGTTTTTCATATTCATCATCAGTAAAAAATTTCTCTAGGAGCCGGATAGTCTCCTATATCTTGGCTTTTATGACCTGGAGATGTCTCCAAGTTTTGGGGTTTTATCTGTTTTGACATGTAATACACAGGGAGATAAAGTACCTGTCTCCATTATGTAACAGTTTGGCCCTCTTGAGAATACATTTTGAAGTTTTATTTTTCTTTTGAATCAGAACAATTAACTAGATAAATGGTTACAGATCTAATTCTTATGATAGGTGTAGAATAGAATATTTCTGGAGGACTTGGAAGCAAACATTCCCTTCTTTACATCATATACCTTCTTGAGGCTCTTGAGCCTAAGGCTTTTTGCAGAGCATTAAGAAATCCAGAGAAGTTTTATTTTTCCACAGTTAGGTGTTCTACGTGCAAAGAAATTCTACTACATGTTATATAAAAAAAATAAATAAATAAAGCATGGCTTATGTAGACAGAATAAGGTAAGATCTCTGAAATGATTTCTGAAAAAATTTAAATGGTAGAAAAGAGAAATGAGATAATTGTGATAGAATTAGAACATCCACTTTTGGGAACCCTCACCCTGTATTTAGTAACAGTGACCTTTGTAGTATTTCAAACCTATCTAGAAGATTCCTGTTTCTAGAAATACATCAATAGGTTATATGGAAAATGTCTTTGAACTGACTCCTGCTCTGCAAAGAATGCCTCCTCCTCTCCTCCTCCTCATGTACTCTGTTCGAATCTGTTGAGAGTTCTGAGCCTCTGTGAGGGTACAATACTATAAAGGTTTGAATATATGTAGAAGGTAATATGCAAAGATTGAGTCTTTGTTTTAGGGTTGTTGACCTGGAAATTTTTTAAAGTAATAATCTTCTTTAATCTTTATTTATTGAAGCATGATAAATACTGACTGATAGGGTGTTTAAGTTGATTAATTACTTGGTTATGTGGAGTACCCCAGTCATACTATATTGTAACCAAGAGTAAAATTTGACATCTTTGACATCCCATTCACTGTAAAAATAGACCCCTTTTTCCTTTTGGTCCTTATAATCATAGTTTTAAAGATTAACAAGTAAGTAGTCTTAATTAGTTGACTCAGAACTCTTTCTTTCAGCTTTTTGCCTGAATTCATCAGTGGAGACTTTGATTCTATTAGGCCTGAAGTTAGAGAATACTACACTGTTAAGGTAAGACATAATTCTGTATTTAAAATATTTCTCATATTATTGCTTTTCCTATGTTTTTCCTGGTTTCCTTTGTGTATGTGTAGGGATTAAGAAACTAATTGTTGTTTTTTTTTAATTTATATAAGTTATGATATACATTCAAATGGAAATTTAGAGAATGGCAAATAGAAATACAAGTTTAGAAATTCAGTCACCACCTGATAAGCATTAATGCTTAGTATTTTAAGCACATATTTTTAAAAAACATTTATAGTTTATGGGCTAATTTAATAATATACTGTTATTGCCTATATCCTCATTAGTTGCTATCCATTTTTCATAAATCACTTCTTATTTCATTTAATAATGAACAAACTATATTTTACTTAACCAATTCCCAATTGATTTACATTTGTATTCATTTTTTTACCTTGTAAACTAATAAAAATATCTTTGTAAATGAGTTTTTATAAAAATGCATAATTATAGAGCCACAGTTTTTTCCTTCAATATTTAGTTTTTTAAAAATATTATCATCCTGTTCTGAATAAACCTGTTTATTATATTTAGTTTATTGAAAATATTTTAGTTTTTTGAAACTATTTTTAGCCTATTCTAAAGAAAATTATTCATTACAACTTGAAATTAACAATAACATACAGCTTAAAGTTTTCATATTGTTACTGCTATTGTGAAAGTCTTCTAGTGATCTTTGCTGGCAAAGAAGAACATGCAAATGATCTAATTGAGAATGATGGAAGGCACATAGTATTATAGCGATCAATTGTTCAAGCTTTCACTGGCTTTAGAGGACAATGCAGAGTTTTAAAAATAAAAATTATAGTGTTAGCAATTCTAGCCACAATACCGTCATCTATGTTATTCTGAACTAATTAGAAAATTACACATATTTTTAAAAGAAACAGCAGTTACTGAAATATTAAAACTTTAAATTCTTTATAAGGCTTGGGGATGGGTGAGATAAAATAAAAAAGAAGAAAAAGGAGGCCTTTTGATGGAAGGAAGGGAGGGAGAAAAAAAGGAAGGATGGGAAGAAGGTGGGAGGGAGGGTAGAAGGAAAGAGAAGAAAAAGAAGGAAAATATGATTCAGGGGGAGGAAGCAAAGGTACCAGGTTTATAAAGTACAATAGGCTGTTCTGATAGAAATCCCAGGACTGGCAGTGAACGTAGCTCAATGCACATCCTATCTGCCCACCAGCTGATCAGACTTTCCCATCAGCAAAGGAAGACTGTTCCCAAGTCAGTGTTTGATATTCATGCTCAATTACTTTAACATTGGCATGTTGCTATTCATTCCCCACAGCCTCACTTCTCATTAACTCCATACCTCAACCTCATTGAGATGGAAAGCCCTCTCAGCCTTGCTTACAATGCAGAGTTTTATAAATTCATAGTTATTCATCGTATCTTTGGGAGGGGAAGAAACAGCGGGAGAGGCAGAAACAAGCACTCAGAAACAAGTGGAAGATCTAGCCAGATGTGACTTTTCTCCTCCTCTCTTAAATGCTGCTGGCTGCCTACACTGGAAGTGCTGATTTCATCATTCCATCCTGGATGAGGAAATAACAAAAAATAAGGGGGAACCAGCTTTTCCATTTCCCAATACAGTAAAATGGGGTCAGGGATAAAATAAAATTTTGAGCTAATACCTTTTGATAAATTTCTCTTATATTTTTTGCTTTATTTTTTTAACCTCAATGTTAATTTTTATCTGTTGAGGTTTAATTTGGAAAGTAAGGTTAGCTGCATCTTCTAATTACTACATTGCATAGTTACGAGATGATGTAGTACAATCAAGTTTTCATGTATTGATGAGAACAACTGCTTTGAACTTTTTGGATCTCTCCTGGGAAGGCACTGATGATGTCTTTGATAGAGCTGATGTGCCCCATATAGGTCAGGGCGAATGTTTAGCTACGGTTTTAATAATGATAATGACAACAAGTTAATGCAGCATTACACACAATTCGTATAAGCCATTATCTCCGATTTAAACCATCTTTAAGCTGCTGTGTTACAAATTAAAGGAGGTTATCTTCACTTTCAAAGGCACTTTTCTTTCTCCCATCTGGTCTGGGTTTCAATGAAGCTGAAACTGGGGCTCTGATAAAGTAAAATAAAAAAGAATTTGAAAATGCTAAAGGTTTGTTAAAACCATAAAATTATAAAGTTGATTTTGTAGTCAACATTTATTCATACAACATTTTCCCTCAGTAGATATGTCCTTGACTTACAGAAAAAAAAAAAAAAACAACCTTAGGTTTATATGACTATACAAAATGTTAAATGTGTTTGCCTGCTTAATTTCTGAGAATACTAAAATATAAAGTATTTGATTTATTTTTTAAATTCTCATCTGAGGATATTTTTCCATTGATTTTTAGAGAGAGTAGAAGAGAGAGGGCAAGACAGAGAGAAATATCAATGTGTCAGAAATACATCCATTGGTTGCCTCATTCAGGTTCCAGGACCAGAGCCAGGAAGGAACCTGCAACTGAGATACATGCCCTTGACAGGAATCGAACCAGGGACCCTTTGATCCACACTCCGATGCTCTACCCATTGAGGCACACTAGGTAGGGCTGATTTGTCAGCTTTTAAACAGAATATTTTATACCTTAGATCTTGCAGTCTGTGGTATAGGGGACCCTCGAACAGTGCAGGGGTCATGGCACTGACACTGCACAGTCAAAAAATCTGTCTTATCACTTCTGACTGCCCCAAAACTTAACTGCTAATAGCCTACTGTTGACCTGAAACCTTACCAATAACATAGTCATTAACTCATATTTTGTATGTTGTATCATTATAGACTGTATTATTACAATAAAGTAATCTAGAGAAAAGAAAATATTAATTAAAACATAAGGAAGAGAAAATACATTTGCATTACTGTATTATTGATACTATAAGTCTAGATCTTCTGTTTGCAAGATGAACCATCTCATCTGTCTGTCAGTACCTACATCAATATTGTCTTATATGATACACAACACTGTAGATATTATATGTATTACACTAGACATCAAAAAGGGAAAGATAATGTGAAAAAGAAATTTATATTTATTGACAGGTATGATAATTCACACATTGATAACAAAGAAGCAGCAATACGATTGCCTTATGGAAGCCTAGTATAATTGATGAATCAGTTGGTAGCTAGGAGATTATTATAGTATTACATTCTGTGCAATAGTTAATATTATGCAGTTGTGATTTAATACTACATCTTTATGTTTGTTTACATTCCTTTTTTTTTGAGGAACTGAATTTTAAATTTTAATTAATTTAAATTTAAAAATTAAAACAGAAGTATTGTATAAATATTTATTTTTACTTTTATTTTATTTTTTTTAATTGCTTAAAGTATTACAAAGAGTATTACATATGTCTCCTTTTTTTCCCCCCCGCCCTTGACAATCCCCTGGCCTCCCTTACCCCTCTGTGTCTTATGTCAATTGGTAATGCTTATATGCATGCATACAAGTCCTTTGGTTGATCTCTTACCCACCCCCCTCCTGCCCTCCCACCCTCCCCGGCCTTCCTGCTGTAGTTTGACAGTCTGTTCGAGGCAGCTCTGCCTCTGTATCTATTTTTGTTCATAAGTTTATAATGGTCTCTATTGTCCATGAATGAGTGAGATCATGTGGTATTTTTCTTTCATTGACTGGCTTATTTCACTTAGCATAATGCTCTCCAGTTCCATACATGCTGTTGCAAATGGTAAGAGTTCCTTCTTTTTTACAGCAGCATAGTATTCCATCGTGTAGATGTACCACAGTTTTCTAATCCATTCATCTACAGATGGGCACTTAGGCTGTTTCCAGATCTTAGCTATGGTGAATTGTGCTGCTATGAGCATAGGGGAGCATATATCCTTTCTGATTGGTGTTTCTGGTTTCCTAGGATATATTCCTAGAAGTGGGATCACAGGGTCAAATGGGAGTTCCATTTGTAGTTTTTTGAGGAAACTCCATACTGTCTTCCATAGTGGCTGCACCAGTCTGCATTCCCACCAGCAGTGCACAAGTGTTCCTTTTTCTCCACATCCTCTCCAGCACTTGTCGTTTGTGGATTTGTTGATGATAGCCAGTCTGACAGGTGTGAGATGGTACCTCGTTGTTTTGATTTGCATCTCTCGGATGATTAGTGACTTTGAGCATGTTTTCATATGTCTCTTGGCTTTCTGAATGTCCTCTTTTGAAAGGTGTCTACTTAGATCCTTTGCCCATTTTTTGATTGGATTGTTTATCTTCCTTTTGTTAAGTTGTATGAGTTCCCTATAAATTTTGGAGATTAGGCCCTTATCAGATATGACATTGGCAATTATGTTTTCCCGCGCAGTGGGTTTTCTTGTTGTTTTGTTGATGGTTTCTTTTGCTGTGCAGAAGCTTTTTATTTTGATGTAGACCCACTTGTTTATTTTCTCTTTAGTTTCCAATGCCCTAGGAGCTGTATCGGTGAAGAAATTGCTTCGGCATATGTCTGAGATTTTGTTGCCTTTGGATTCTTCTAGTATTTGTATGGTTTCCCGTTGTATATTTAAGTCCTTTATCCATTTTGAGTTTATTTTTGTGTATGGTGTAAGTTGGTGGTCTAGTTTCATTTTCTTGCATGTATCTGTCCAATTTTCCCAACACCATTTATTGAAGAGACTATCTTGACTCCATTGTATGTTCTTGCCTCCTTTTGTCAAATATTAATTGAGCGTATTGGTTGGGGCTGATTTCTGGGCTCTCTGTTCTATTCCATTGATCTATATGTCTGTTCTTGTGCCAGTACCAGGCAGTTTTGAGAACAGTGGCTTTGTAATACAGCTTAATATCTGGTATTGAGATCCCACCTACTTTGTTCTTTCTCAGGAACGCTGCAGCTATTTGGGGTCGTTTTTTATTCCAGATGAATTTTTGGAGAGTACATTCTAGGTCTGTGAAATATGCCATTGGTATTTTAATGGGAAGTGCGTTGAATTTATAGATTGCTTTGGGCAGTATGGACAT